ATTCAAGCTTCAAAAATCAGAGCTAAGAAAAGCCTTTCCCCCAACAATGGTGACTCCTTTTGCAGTTGGTTAAATGATCCTCTGACCATGGAGCTACATAGTAACTTGTTAACTTTTTAAAAAATTATCTATTTTATTTTTAATTTATGGGACAAAACAAGCATTTCCATAACATAGTATAATAAAAAAAGATTGTCCATGAAATTGAAAATCTATTATGTATATACAACCTGCTATTCCTTTCAATTTTATAATAAAGTTGTCTTGTAAATTTCTTTTTCTTCCTTTTTTTCTTCCCTCCCCCTTCTTAGAGATAGCTACCATTAGACACAAATATGTGTGTACATATACATACGTATATACATATGTGTAAAATCATTCATATACATACTTCTATTTATCAGTTCTTTCTCTACATGCAAATAGTGTCTTCCTTTGTATGTACTATATAGTTACTTTGGATGTTTACAATATTCAAAATGACTCGTTCACTCAAAGTTGTCTTAAAACAGTATTGCTGTTAGTATATACAGTGTTCTTTTGGTTCTGCCCATTTCAAGCTTTATTATTTTGTGCAAATCTTTCCATGTTTTTCTAAGATCACTGAGCTCATTATTTCTTATAGTATAGTGGTATTCCATCACAATCTTAACTTGTTCATTTTTTTTTTATGTATTCTGAATCTGCAAAAGAAAGTGTTCCCTTCCAATCTGGTAATAAGATGATAACTCATTATTTATATAGTTCTTTAAGTTTATAAAACTCTCTCCCCACAACAAACTTGTGAGATATAAGAATTATTATTCCCATTTTATTCATGAGGAAGCTGTGGCCAGTGGGTGAGGTTGGTATTGGAGCATCCCATTTGGATCTGGAAAGGCCTTTAGAGATACGGTCATAGGATCCCAGAGACTGATTAGTCCATCTCATACTTGAATTAACGTCTCCTCTGCAGTATTCCTGGGAAGTTGTCATACAGGCTATATTTGAAGATGTCTGATGAAAGGAAGCCTACTGCCTGCTACAGCAGCTTATGTTTGAATAATTCTGATTGTCAAGAATTATTTTTTCTTATATCCAGACCAAACTTGCCTCTTTTTCCATTATTTGCTCCTAGTTTTTGTCATCCAGGTCCACATTTTCTGTTGTTGGTTCGGTCATTTCAGTCATGTCTTGACTCTTAATGACTCCATTTGGGGTTTTCTTGGCAAAGATACTGGAGTGGTTTGCCATTTCCTTCTCCAGTTCATTTTACAGATGAGAAAACTGAGGCAAACAGGGTTAAGTGACAACTAGAGCAAGTCTAGTCCTCCTTCTGTATGGCAGTCTTTCAAAACATTACCAAAAGCTAACATTTTCCCCATAAGATTTCTCTTTTCTCCTGCAGACTAAACATAACCAGTTCCTCTAGCCGGTCTTCAGATGTCATGGTCAAAATCATCCTGATTTCCTTCTCTGGACATTCTTCAGCTTACCACCACCTTCCATAAAATATGGTCTCCTGAATTTAGCACACTGCCCCAGATGTGATCTGATGATTACTCAGTCATCCCGTGGGTTAGCCATCCTTCTTAGATTTGTGTCATCTGCAAATTTCACAAGTCTTTATCCATGCCACCGATGACAGTGTTAAACAGCATAGGACCAGGCACAAATCCCTGGGCAAGACCACTGATGTTGTTGTTGAATCATTTCAGTCATGTCCAACTCATTATGACCCCTTCTTAGATGTTTCTTGGCAAAGATACTATGTTGGTTTGCCATTTTCTTTTCTAACTCATTTACAGATGAGGAAACTGAGGAAAACAGGATTAAGTGACTTGCCCAGAGTCACACAGATAATAAGTGTCTGATGCCAGATTTTAACCCAGGTCTTCCTGACTGTATGCCTAGCTCTGTATCCACTGAGCCACCTAGCTGCCTAGAGCCACTTCTGTCTTCTTTCCAAACAGATACCAAACTCTTTAATGACTGACTACCCTTTTAACCCAGCCACTAAACCTGTTCTGAATCCATCTAAATTTACCAGGATCTAGCTTATGTTTTCTATCTTGTACCCAAGAAGAGAAGAAAAGCTTTATCAAATGCTTTGCTAAAATCTAGGTACATTATATCTAGAGTGCTTCCAAACTAGCAATCCTGATAGCAAAGGAACTTAAGTTAGTTGGGCATGGTTGGTTTTTGATAAAGCCATAGTGGTTCTTCATGGTCACTGTTTCCTTTTCTAGCTAACTCTTAATAATACTTTCTAGAGTGTTTCCAGAAAGTGTTGAAGTCAAGCTTAGTGACCTATATCCATTCTCATCTCTTTATTTGAAAGTTACAAAAACATTTGCCTTTCTCCAATCCTCCACTCTTTCTACCATTTCCCAAAATGTATTTTTTCCTCTGTTTAGTGTTTTGCTCTGTTTCTTTCTTTTTGGTCCAGACCTGTTATTCCATTGGTGATTGAAACTCCCCATGAGCCAACTCTCTCTACCAATTGTAGATGGCAACTGTTCTCTGCAAATGAAAGTTTTAGAGAAAGTGTTGGTGTCTGAGGTAGGGGTGGGTGGGGGGAGTGCAGTGAGAGGTTAAGTAATTTGTCTGCGATCATACATACCAGTATGTGTCAAGAGGCTGGATTTTGAACAACCAGATCTTCCTGACTTGAGGCCAGTTCTCTATCTACTATGCCATGCTGCATCTCTTTCCATGCTCTTCTCAAGAACATTGACAGTGACTTAGCATTCAGCATATATCTACCAGATTACCAGATCCATCAATCTACCTCACCCCCTTATTTTGTACATGAGGAATCAGAAACCTATAGAGGACACCAGAGATAAGACTTGATTAGACTATATTCTCCAATGCTTCAAACTCTTTCCTCTGCTCCACATTAAAATAATATGTTATTCTTTGTTACAAGAGATGGATCTATGGGAGAGAAAAGGGGAAGGGATACAGGGGGAAATTTAGGCAATCTAAAAGCAAAACATATTAATAAAAATTTATTTTTGAAAAATGAATATACCTCTTGTAGTTCCACATCATTGTTAAAATAACCTGCCTGTACCTCTGCATCCTCACAAGTGAAAGTGTAGCTTTAAAAGATCATTATCTTTCTATGAATTCAAAATTAGTCCAGCTGACCTATTCTAGGAGTTGGGCGCAGAGCTACAGTCTCAAAGCCCTTTGCCACTTATTTACTGTATGGGGCGTTCATAAGTTGAGTATTAATTATCATAGTTTCTTTCCTTAAGGGGGTTTTGCAAGTGAATTCATCCTATATTCTATATTGCCTATAAGTTATTTTTATTTTCCATATGTTCATATTGAATAGGTTAACCAGTAATTAAGTTAATGACATAGGGGTATTTTCTAATGAGGCAGATATGAAAATTTATACCATCTTTATTGCCACTGAGATCTATAAGTCAATAAGCTGCTTAATCAATGGGTATTGATTGATCTCAGCTTTATTCCAGATTACTCCCCTTCCCACATTACATTCCAACAAAACTAGATGACAAGCTGTTTCCTGACCTCAAAGTTCTTTCAGCTCCCTGTAAATATGCTCACCAGTTATTCGCTCTGTTTAGACTGTACCTTTGCCTTTTACAATGTTTATTTTTATTCAGTACTCAGCTCTAGTGCCATCATCTCCTCGAAGCATCTTCTTATCTTCTTAGTCACTGCTGTTCTCTCTCCCACCATATTAGGATATTGTCTCCTTACATGTATGTGTATTATATCGTTCCAGCCCAGTGACATCTCCTTCAAGGCCAGGGCTATATTAGGAGGTAGGATAGTATAGTAGATTGAGTATTACCAGGAGGACCTAGATTTGAATACAGCCTCTGATTCCTACAATCTATATTAAAATGAATTAGTTGCTTAATATCTCTGAATTTCAGTTTCCTAATGTATAAATTGGGGATAATAAAACCTGTGATACTTTCCTCAGAGGGAAGTAGGGAGACTCAAATGTGATGTGTAAATGTATTTTTCAAACTTCCAAGTACTATAAATGTCTTTATCAAATGAGGTAAATATAAAATGCTTTACAAATTTTACCATGTTAAATGAATGCAGTTATTATTATTATTATTATTATTATTATTATTATTATTATATCCCTAGAACATTGCACTTTGCCATACACATAGTAGATACTCAGTATAAATGTTCATTGAATTGAGTGTTCATTGTGCAATAACATCACAGGTCTGACCATATTACTCCTCTGCTCTGAAAGCTCCTGGAGCTCCCTGTTACCCCTAGGATAAAATCAGAGTTCCTGTTTGGCATTAAATGCCTTCCACCACCTAGCTCCAGCCTACTTTTCTAGGTTGATCAAATATTACTCCATTTCACACACTCTCTTTTCCAGCCAAACTGACCTGCCTGGTATTTCTCATGCTTGATGCCCCAGATCCCCTCCTCATATGATGTCACTCCCTCCTCCTTACAGAATAATTAGCTACCTTCAAAACATAATTCAAGTGCTTCTTCTTACTTGAGGCTTTTTTTTTATCCTTCCCAACTGCTAGTGGTTCCTCAGTTCCTTAACCCACTCACCCCCCAACAAAATTGCGTGTGTTTATATATGTACATACACACACTACTTTTAGAAAACAAGCCTCTTGGGGCAGCTAGGTGGTGCAGTGGTCAGAGTACAGCCCTGGATTCAGGAGGCCCTGAGTTCAAATCTGGCCTCAGACATGTAACACTTACCAGCTGTGTAACCCTGGGGAAGTCACTTAACCCCATTGCCTAGACCAAAAAAAAAAAAAAAGAAAGAAAGAAAACAGGCCTCTTGATGGCAGGGACTACCTCACATTTTTATTTGAAATCTATTCTGAGTGCCTTAGCACAGTTTCAGAAATGTAGCAGCATCTAAATATATAATTGATGGTGACCGATTGCCTGTATAATAAAAAAGAACTAGTACGTTGAATAAAAGAAAATAAAATGACATTAAACTTTTTGTTGTTGTTGTTTTTCACTCTTGACAGCCTGCAATGTTTGGTACTTAAATTCCGTGGAAATGGAGTCACTCACAGGCTACCAAGCTGTACAGAAAGCCTTGAGCATGACGCTGGTTCAAGATCCTCCTCCCATTTCTACAGTCGTCCATTTCAAAGTGTCTGCCAGGGAATTACACTGACTGACAATCAGCGGAAGTAAGTGCCCTCTGTAGGATTTGTCTAAGTTATGATGTTACTTTGCTTGCTCTCTCTATCGTTTCTGGGTGGTGCTATTGAGTCAAAAATTCTTTATAGTTATTGGTGGTTTTCAAGTTTAGAAAGATCCCAAGCTCTCCTTTCCTTTTCTTGTTGAAACAAAATCTTGTTTGGGAAGCTTCTTTCAATCATTTTTCTACAATTTGGTAGAGAGAGGCAGTGTGATATAATGGATGCAGATCTGACCAGGAAGCCAAAGTGTGACTTCCAACTTAGACGCATAATACCAAGTGACTCTGAGCATGTCACTGAAGCTGTCAGGAATCTAGGAAACTCTCTAAGACTCTATGTTGCAGACAAGGTGCCAACCTACATTGGTAGAGGGGAGTTTCCTCACTTGGGAACTCCCTGTACCAATAACATCATAAAGCCAATTCCTCTCCCTTCAGAAATATGGAAGTGCATGCCAGGCATATTATTCTAACAGTTTTATCAGACAACTGCCAAGTATATCAGAGAGGTTACATACATGGTCTTACATGCCTTACTACCTTCTTTAATTACAGTACTGTTTTAATTACTTACTTTTTACAATAGTAGCATTTTATTTTCTGTGGCTTTGGCACACACACATCCCTGAAGCCTTGCATGACTTCATCATATCATCTAGGTGACTGGTCATGATGAGGACAAAGTCTATGCCTTGGAGTACTTTTCCTGTTGTGATTGTGTAGCAAGATTTCTTTTTCTCATACTGTAATTTTTTCTAACCTGTGGTCCAAAATAATGGCCTTCCTTACATGAATACCAATGTAACTTTTTGTGTTTGTGTCTTTTTAAAAATCATTTCCTTAAAATATAAAGATTACTTTGAATTCTATTATTATCTTCCAGAGTAATAACATAAGTTACAAGTACAATGGGCCTTCTTCATCTGTTTCTCCAAGACATTTATAACACTAGAAGAGTCATCACGGATTTAAGGAACTTTGGAGATAACGAATCCAAAACTCTGATTTTGCAGAGAAGGAAGGTGAAACTCAGGGAGATTAAGTGAATTGCCCAGTTGCACATAGGTAGAAGAACAAGCCAAGCTGAAATTTATGTCTCTTGCCACAAAATCCAGTGTCCTTTTATACATATCATGTTGCCTCTCAAGATATCCTACTTAGTGCCCCTACTCACACTGATAATCATCACCGTACCTCAGTCGTAAAAGAGAAATGCTGAAAACATTGATTTTTCTCCCTCTGTTTCATTGTAACAGACTTTTCTTCCGAAGACATTATCCTGTGAACACTGTCATTTTCTGTGCTTTGGATCCACAGGACAGGAAGTAAGGCATTTTCACTTGTTAATAAATGTGTGTATCTTTAATTTTGCCTTGAAAATGTAAACAGAACTAATGCTTTCATTTTGTTTCCTCTTTCATGTACAATCAGGTGGATCAAAGATGGCCCTTCGGCAAAGTAAGTTGCCCATCATTATCTGAATTCCTTTATTTTAAAGTATAGACTCTTTTAGCTTGGAGTCGTTATGTAGACTTGAACTTTTGTCCCAATTTCCCCAGATGATCACTTAGCACAATCTTTCTAAATTGTTACCGTGCCCATCAGACCATGCAAGACCACCCTGATTCTTGTTAGAAACATGTAGCTTCCTTCTTGTTTTTAAGGACGAGAACTAAATCACAAGAGTGCCAATATTTTAGAATTGGTCTCAATATTCATCTAGTCAGACCTGACCTAACAAGTGGTAATTTAGCCTTTGCTTGATGTCAACCCATTAACCAAAGCACCCCATGTCACTTTGAATAGCTCTGATTGTTAGGAAAATTTCCCTTACATCAAACCTAAATTTGTTTTTTGTTTTTTTGGTCTACTTTATCCATTGTTTATGGTTCTGTCTTCTGAGGCAAATAAAACAAGTCTAATCCTTTTGCCACAGAATAACCCCTCAGTTATTTTGACAGAGTATAATCTTTTATATTTAGAGAAAGGCTTGCCAGTGGGCAAAGATGCTCATGGCCTCTCTCTTCTTTATGTGCAATGAGTAATATAACATAACTTATGTGTAGCCTGAAAAAAAGATACTGCCAACCATCATTAATTAAAGTAAAAGAGATTATACATCATTACTGTGTTTTTTTAAAGGTACCTTTTAGTAAAGACTGGAATAGTTTTGAGGTCAGTGGAGCTCAGTGAAGGGACTAAAGGGCCATGTGAATTTCCTAACTCAAGTAGGAAAGACCTTTCTGTCTTGCTGTTAGATATTTATATCTGAATACCCAGTGACTATTTCATAAATTAGTATATATAATTCTAGGGAAAGATCATTACATTTCTCATGCCTGGCTCCAGTCCTTAGGTCTTTTAGTCAATTTGTGAGTATTACTTGAATGAATAAACAGTATGTGCTAACGCTCTTCTAGACATTGGGTGGAATACAAAATACAGTCTCTGCTCTCAAAAGAATTTTTTTTATTATCTTTGGGTTAAACTGTGGTTATCAATGAATATCCCCTGCCCTGGAATCCTTGGCTATTCACCTTTGGTAAAGCTAGCATCCTTCCAACTGAAAAAAAAAAGTAGCATAAAATCATAGATCTAGAGATGATATGAATTTCAGAGACCTTCTAGGTCAACCTCCTCATTTTACAGATGATGAAACTGAGGTACATGAAGGCTCTTTGACTCACCCAAGGTAACACAGATAGTAAGCAGCAGAGGTAGGATTTGAACTCAGTTCTTCTGACTCCAGAACCACCATTTAGCCACATTTAGTATAAATAGTGGCTTCAACTCTTTGAAGAAAACAATTAAATGCTACTCTTTGTTTTAAAAGTTTATGGGAGGGAGCACTGGCCCTGGACTTAGGAGGAGCTGAGTTAAAATGTGGCCTCAGACCAAACATTTGACACTTACTAGCTGTGTGACCCTGGGCAAGTCACTTAATCCCAGTTGCCCCCCCCAAAAAAAAGCCATTTATGGGGTGTGGGGGGAACTCCTAAAAGCCTTAGTGAAGTTTTAAGCTGCTAAGCCTGACACAGCTTAAAATTTCACTTAGAATTTTGGGACACCATGGCTACAGTTTGTAATTTAAGAATATAAAAGTAAAGGAAAACAGACCCTATGTGTTTGACTTGTATTTTTTAAAGGTCTACAATGTTTCTTATATGTGAGCCATGCCAATTTTCAAATTTCAAATATATTTTTAGCAAGGTAATTTGGAATAGAGCAGAGGTTCTTAACGTGTGTGTGTGTGTGTGTGTGTGTGTGTGTGTGAGAGAGAGAGAGAGAGAGAGAGAGATGACAAGGGATAATTATATCAACATGTAATTATTAAAATGTTTGTAAAAACAAATTCATGAATGCTAGAGTTAGGAAGAGCTAAGTTTGATTACAGTCTTAGATACACACTAGCTATGTGACCCTGGGCAAATCACTTAAATTCTACCTCTGTTTCCTCATCTTGTAAAATAATAATTATAATAGCAACTACCTCCTAAGGTCAAACGACATAATATTTGTAAAGAGCTCAGCACAGTGCCTGGCACATAGTAGACCCTATACAAATGTTAGTTATGATAATGAAAATGATGATGCCACTTCTCTTTATATAAGAAATGACCTATGGACTAGCAAATAAAGCAGATTAGATAATCACAGATGTGTTTTGTTAGACACTGTTATAACGAGGAGATGTTTTCTAGTGGTGACGTGATTGAAGTAAATAATAAGAGAAAAACAGTGTGTGAATGTTTGCGCAGGGTGATTTTGTGGTTCTGTGTATGTGTTGCCCATTTAATTTTTAAATTGCCTTTTCCAGAGTATTTGGATTTGTTGCAAGAAAACAAGGGAGTGCTACGGACAATGTGTGCCACCTGTTTGCAGAACATGATCCCGAGCAGCCCGCCAGTGCCATTGTGAACTTTGTATCAAAGGTCATGATTGGTTCCCCCAAAAAGATCTGAAGCCTCCCTGCCAGACAGACTACCCTTTAGACTTTGGTGTGAGTAGGGAGGGATGGCGTCCTTTTGAACAATTTCCTTAAACGTACCAATCCCAAGAAGAAAAAGAGAATCTTCTGCCTGTTGTACGTTTTCTTTCTTTCTTCCTTCCTTCCTTGCTTTTTTTTTTCTAAAAGAAAGACTTCAAAATTCCTTGGCCTTTCTCAAGAGAAAATTTTTGTCTCTTGAAACATCTTCACAGCCAAGTACCAAGTTCAAAATAAAAGAAGCTGTGTCTGGAGCATCTGTACCTATCCAGAGAGTCCATTTTGGAGACAAACTTTGAAAGAGAAAAGCTCGTGTACTCTTCTTCACCTTCTCTCAGGTGAACAATGAAATGATTGCCTGGTTACTCACTATATTACATGAATTGTATGAGATTTAATACGTAATAGAACTGCGTGCATGGCCTTATGGAGACACTTGTCCTTTTTGCATCCACAGTAGCTGTGACCCTTATAAACTGAGGTTCTGTCAGAGGATAATGGGCCTCTTGTACAATCATTTTCTCTTCCCTTCATCTTTCCATAACCAAGACTAGAGTTGAACTGAGAAGGGGGAAGTATGTCTGATGAAGGTTAGTGTAGGTTGATTTTTTTTTTCAGGGACCATGAAGACAGACAGAGGTGCAGGGATACCAATATTGTAGGGTCTAAATCTGGGAGTGATTGAGGTCATTGTGCTTTATGAAAAGTTAGAGATGTCATTTTTAAAAAATTGTATGGTAAAGGCTTGATGTATTTTGTTCATTTCAATAAATATATTTTGTATGAAGAGTCAAGCAAGAAAGAAACCATTTTAAATAGTAGCAGGATAAAAATGAGGGAAAAGCAAAAAAATGATTTTATATAATTTATATTTTTTGCCTATGCCAGATTATTTATGGTAGAAATTTGATATTGCTATATTGTATGAGTACTCTTTACTAGACACCTTGTTGAACTTTGCGTTTTTTTGTGTTATTGTATCTAAAGTATATGCTATTGCATGTGCCTTGCTTAGAAAGTACGTCAGCGTTTTCTTATGATGTTGTTATAACACATCCTGTATTTTGGAAATACTGTTCTAACAGAAAGTCTTTCTGCATATTTGAATTTGTTTCTCAATATTTTGTTCATCAAGTTCACTTCCTTAAGATTTTTATGCCTAAATTTTTTTTTTATTGTGGATAGAATCAGCTAATGCGTCCAGAAGGGAAAAAGAAAATTATTTTGTTAAACTCTTGCCTTGGCATCTGCTTGTTATTTTGGATGTCATTTGTAAGGATAGAAACAAGCTGATATATAGGGCACCTTGCGCCTTTATAAGCTCTCATATGGATCTCGTCACACTGCTCAGTGGTTTGCTTTGTATTATAGTCCTCAGTGTAGCATCCTAAGAATGAAGGTAAGAAAAGGGATGATCCTTGAAAATACAAACTTTTTTAGTTGTCCTGTTAGCTGCTGTATTATATGAGCAAATACATACTCGTGTATATTTCTATATCTAAATGGTTTTCCCTGCAAATCTGCCGTTGGTGAAGTTCTGCTGGGACCAATGATCCAGGACTTTGCCTGGTTGATGAAACATTCACTTTCTCTTCTATTATGCACAAAGTGCTGAATAAATGTTCAAAGACCCCCAAGTATCCCCCATTAAAATTTTTCTTAATAATAATATCCTCCTATCCTTCCCAAGATCACATATCAGTGCTTCTTTTATGCAAAAATCATAGTGACCAACTTAGGCTTTGAAAATTTACTCTTATAAAGAGATTATTTTAATGCATGGGTCAGGGCAGCAAAAGGCAGGGAAGAAGATGGCAGCTCAAATGCAACTGGAATTGACTGAGTTGCAGTGGGCATTGTATATAAAGCTAAAAGGTAGATAACTTCTTGCTCCAGTTGGCATGACAAAGGCCAGGGCCTCATTTCTGTGCCAAATGCTTTATGATTCTGTTACACATTTACTCATCATGAAGTATGTGCGTTGCCATTTGAAGAGGCTGCTTAGACATTTCGGAGCTCCTGTGTGCCTTAAGAACAACCAATCAGGCAGAATTTTAACTCCTAAATCACTTCCAAGGGGTATCCAGTCCAACAGTGTTCATTTCATCAGAAGTTTGGGAAAACGAAATGTTGGAGAGGGCTTAAATTACTGGATCTTCTAAGAGTGTTACTGTCATGGAAAGGCTGCCCCCCACAAAGGAAGAAGAAGAAAGTTTGTTTAGAACTTAAGTCAGATTCGAAAAATCCTTCTTTTTGAAGAGAATTCTGTGGAATTGGGGCCCCTCCTTTCCTTCCAGTATCCAGTGACTTGGAGTTTTCAAGATATTGTCACAGGATTTCATGCCCACATGTATTCAGGAAGGACTCCAGAGCCTGAAGGTTGCCATTCTTTTTTTAAAGATCATTTACTGGCATGCTTATTTTTTATTTTTATTTTTTGCTCTTTTTCAATTTTTGCTCTGTGTTAAAAAGAGCATCAGGGAAAATCCACTAGGAGCTTGACTCTTCTTAGCAAGAAAAGTAGGGTCCATTTTTATGGTTCTAAGGAGAGCTCTCACAGTGTGTTTCTCTTATGATATGTTACCACATATATTAGAAATGTATGAAATAATTTTACATACTCAGAAGAAAAGCTGTAAGGTATACTCGGTAGTAAATAGCATTATCCAGTTACACAAATTCTTTTTGTGACAGATGTGTGGTCAAACTGTTAACATGGCATGCTTTCCCCCGGGATGTTTCAAGATGTGTATATGCAGTACTGAAAAGAAAGACTGGTGAACTCATATTAGCTTTTTGCCACATGTATTTGTAGCCAGGCACCTACTAACCTGCTTATTATTAAATCGTATTGCTATAATCCTTCAGTGTTACAATATGGACATGCTAAAAAGCCATGCTTAAATAAATGGTGCCAGGGTATCTTTAATATCATTGACATGTTAACATTGCCTTCTCTGCCTTATCTATTAGTAGATGTTTTACCTTTGCTCCATACTGTAAAAAATATATATTCAGTATGTAAATGAATGTCCTATAAATTCTTTGTATAGTCGATTTCTCTGCTTTTTTAAATATCACCTCTATTCAGAGTATAATAAAATTATGAATTTGTTAAGTCTCTGTTATTAGATTAAGAGTAGTCTGTTCGGGGGGGGGGGCAGCTAGGTGGTGCAGTGGATATAGAGTGCTAGGCCTGAAATCAGGAAGACTCATCTTCCTGAGTTCAAATCTGGCCCCTGACACTAACCAGCTGGGTGACCCCTGGGCAAGTCATTTAACCCTGTTTGCTTCAGTTTTCTTATCTGTAAAATGAACTGGAGAAGGAAATGGCAAACCACTCCAGTATCTTTACCAAGAAAATTCCAAATTGGGTCACAAAGAGTTCGATGTGACTGAAAACAACTAAACAGCAGCAGGAAAAGTCTATTCTGAGAACGAATTTGGGGCTTGATGGTGTTAGGTGGTGGCACCTGTAAAAATCCTTTAAGATTTTATTTTGAGGAAGTAAAGAATGGAGGTGGGAAGGACATGGGTCTGGAGGCAACAAGGTCATGAAGGGGTTGCTTTGAAAAATAAGTTAAAAGGAAATCTGTTCAAAGAAGGGAAAGTTCTTTAGAGAAGTCAAGGAAAGGGAGAATAGGAGGGAAAAAAACACAAGCAAATTAAAATCCTTTCATAACTTTCTATGGTAGGAGTCAGCATTTAATGTTTTATCCTCTGGAAGCAAATTTCTTGTCATGCTATAGTCAAGATATGGGAGGAAGAGATCTTTATGGTCAAATAGAACAACTGCCTCCCCTTCTCTTCCTTTGTGTGACAGATAACACAAGCATCCTCCTTTACCCCAGAAATTGAACCATATCAGCCCAAAGACAACTCTCTTCTATGATTTTCCCTTTGTATCTAAAGTTAAATGGAGCCAGCATGGAAATTACAGGAACTAGCTCCAGTTCTGATTCATCCAGTAACTTGGGTGTAACTATGACTGTCACTGACAGTCGTAAGTAGGCATTGTGACATACCAGAAAAACCCCTGAATTTGGACTAGACCAACTTGGGTTCAGACCCTAGCTATTACTAGTACCACCTACCTATGAAGTATGTACACCCTGTGCCTTGATTTCTTCACCTGTAAAATGATACCTAAATTCTCTTTCAGCTTGAAATCTTATTATTTCCAATAAAATCAAGGTGGGGTAGGGATAAGGGTGGCAGAAAGCATTTACAATGTGTAGTGTTACCGTCTCATGAAGGGAATTCAAATTTTGGCTCCCATGAATCACTATGGGGAAACAAGACATTTCCCCACTCCAAGTGGCTTGTGAGAAGCCTTGACATCTCACTAGTCATGTAAAAATGGATATTTTTCACTGCAGGTACATTTTGAGGGCCAGGTTGGTATTTCTATTTCTGGGAGCCACAAAATAAGAACAATTTTGTTAAAAATCAGGTATATCAAATTTGCATTTAAATTTCTTTTTATGAGGCATTTTGGTTTGTTTACTCCAAGGATCACTGAAGAAATCTTGTTGCATTTAACTTCATGGTTAAGTCCTAGAGAGTTGTCTGAGGTACCTTAAAGTTAAATATCTTCTCCAGGGTCACATAGCATCAGAGGCAGGATTTGGATCCAGGTCATAGGATCACAGATGTAGAACCAAGAAGACCTTAAAAACGATATAGTCCATTCTAACACTTATCATCCAGTCAAAATTTGAACACATCCCCGTGAATGGGTGTATGTTAAAATCAATTCATCAAGTACTTCTTAAAATATGAGGGACCAAATTTTTGTTTGTCTTTTATTCAGTTAATCAGATATGCATTTATTAACTGATGGTGAATGGGGAAGTAACAGATGGTAGGAAAGGAGGAAGCAGATTTACATTGTGGGCCAATGCGTGTTTAAGTGCCACTTTTATGAACCGTATAACTCCATCTTTGGAACATAGAGAAGCCCTTTGGATCTCAGGCACTTTTGACCACTTCCATTGGTTCAGAGACTAAAAGATTAATTTTGTGGTTGTTGAGACAGAAGGGGTATCTAGGGCTGTCACTAGGAGCATGGATTTTTCATTTGGAATCTTTTGGGATGGAATGGTTGGGCAGCTTCCCAGTTAGTACTGTTAGATTATCTCAGTATAGCTCAATATTTTTCCCTATGAATTTCAAGACATTTCTCTCCCTCACAGAAAGTTGATTCCAAAGCTAAAAAATATTTTCAAAGTTATGTACCAGTTACCCATTCTCCTCTCCACAAGTGC